TTGCATGGTATATCCATCAATATGAATAATTAGGCACGGACCAACAACTGTATTTTCCCGATGAACATCTGCCTTACAAATATTATGTTTAGACGCTTTTTTCGTGAAGATGCCGAAGATGTTAGTGTGAGGCTTGCCCTTGTCTTTCTCCTTATCTTTCGGCCTGTTGTCTATACTGGTGCCTGTGTAGGTATACGTTAGGCAAATCGTTAAGTTGACTAATTTTGTCTCATATCATATTTGACAACGCCTTGCACTCAGTATAGTAAACAAGGTGCGTATATGTACCACTTTGTTTTTATATATTATAGATAAGGGAATTGTCGAGGTTATATATATAGTCGTGGTTATATATAAAGTCGAGGTTATATATATAGTCGAAGTTATATATATAGTCGTGGTTATGTATATAGTCGTGGTTATACATTTAGTCGTGGTTATATATAGTCGTGGTTATATAGATAGTCGTGCCTATATATATAGTCGTGCCTATATACATAGTCGTGGTTATATATATAGTCGTGGTTATATATACAGTCGTGGTTATATATATAGTCGTGTTTATATATATAGTCGTGGTTATAAATATAGTCGTGGTTATATATATAGTCGTGGTTATATATATAGTCGTGGTTATATATATAGTCGTGGTTATATATAAAGTCGTGGTTATATATATATAGTCGTGCTTATATATATAGTGCTTATATATATAGTCGTGCTTATGTATATAGTCGTGCCTATACATATAATCGTGCTTATATATATAGTCGTGCTTATGCATAACATATAGTTGTGCTTATATATATATAGTCGTGCTTATATATATATTATATAGCAAGTCAACGTTTTCAAATTCTCTAAGGGCTTGGCACTGCCATTTGGATGCTTGTCACACAGACGATACACAACAAAGGCAGATCAGCCGTCCTGGTATTGACTCTGTGCCTCTTTAAATTAGTCACTATAAAATGGCGGACATATCCAACTAGCCGTAGCTGCTAAGAGCTTACACGGGCACTATAGGGATGCAACGGTTAGCGATCGATTGAGGTTTTGTGTTCTTTTATAGTCTCCGCAGAAACAACCAGTCAACAACCCATCACATTCCCTGGGGGTACCATGCACGGCACTCGTAAAGTTGAAGCTACCAATCAAAATCAAGGATAGACACCCACAGAGATCCACAAGCTACCAATCAAAATCAAAGATAGGAACAACAAGCCAACAACCCATCACATTCCCTGGGGGTACCATGCACGGCACTCGTATAGTTGAAGCCACCAATCAAAATCAAGGATAGACACCCGCAGTGATCCACAAGCTACCAATCAAAATCAAGGATAGGCAGGCATCCAAACAGATCCACAAAAACCTGAATAGCAGTCACCACAGCATCGCGGGTTGCTTAACAGAGGCAACATCCGAGAACAGAACTACAGTAACCTCTAACCCCCAAAAGAAGTGCACATTTACATCAACTACAGTAACCTCTAACCCCCACAAGAAGTGCGCATTTACAACAATTACAGTAACCTCTAACCCTCACAAGAAGTGCACATTTACAATTACAGTAACCTCTAACCCCCATAAGAAGTGCACATTTACAACGTACAGCGATGCACCCATTCACCCACCCTGCTCAAACGCCGAAGCCTGCCGTGCAAGCCCCTTCCGTCCAGTCTCAGCTATCGGCGCCTCAGTCGGTAACAACCCGCCCAGGGACTGTGACCTCTCATGCGACTTCTTAGTCTTCTTGTCCTTGTCCTTGGTGGTTTGGCCTGTTTCCGTTGGCATGGCGTGAATCTCGCTGTGCAATGCACCGTCGGTTGCTACGTTTGCGGCACTCGACGTGGGCGTAGTGGCGCGTCTGGTATATTGTTTGAGATAATAATATTTGGATAAGCATGATGTGTTGGATAGGCCACGTTACGGTCGAATCATCGAATCACACCCGCGGATGTGAGTTACAAGATATCACAAAAGAACCTCAGGGCTTGCTGTAGCACAGATGCGCAATAGATACTGTTGGGGATACCGGCGTCTTACTTTTCCTCTGAGCCTGTGAAGCTGTCCAGCATGTTTCGGAAGCGTGACTTCTTCTCTTTCTTCTTGCCCTCGTCTGCTGTGGTTAGAGGTTACGTGGGAGTATAAGTGAATCAATCGTGTATAGTCTCGTGAGAACCTGAGATCAGCACACACCATTGGTTCGACATGATGCAGATAACTGATATATACATCAGCAGGTGTTGGTGTGTTATTCAGTCACAGATATCAACCCACGAACCAATGTTACCACAACTGATATATGCATCAGCAGGTATTGGTGTGATAGTAAGTCACAAAGATCAAACCATACTCAAAACCCAAACACAAGCATGTTCGTAGCAGAATTAAAACACTAAGGGCGCTGCCCAGTCCGTCGCACGGGATGGCAGAGTGAGGTGGGTTACAATTGTTATGGCAGAGTGAGGTGGGTTACAATTGTTATGGCAGAGTGAGGTGGGTTACAATTGTTATGGCAGAGTGAGGTGGTTTACAATTGTTATGGCAGAGTGA